GAGAGAGAGAGAGAGAGAGACGTAACGAGAGAGAGATTGGTGTTGGTTGATATACAGTGTATATAAAAAATTGATTATTAGATAAAAAGAAAAGAGGATGTAGTGCTAAGATATATAGCGTTATCCATGTTTCATGGTTCAGTTAGTATTTTTCCCTTGATGATTGTCCTAACAACCCCAAACAAATACCACCTCCCTCTCTCTGTCTCTCACAAGAAACAAGTTTAGACATTTTAACTCAACTTATCACATGTCTTTCTCTCGAAGGCCTTTGTGATTAAGTATATAATGATGGAAGTGGTAGTTGAACTGTGATCTTATAGATTTCATTTTAGATACTATAAAAAAATTGTGCACCTATTTTGAAAACATCACAGGAATGTATTTTTTATATATTTTGAAATTTTTGAATTGATTTAGATGGCATGAGAAATAATTTCAATGGCAAATTGTGCTTCTATTAGCACATATTTCTTTATCCATTTAGATAACTGAGATAGGGAAGATGAATTGTTGACTATGAATTGAATTTAATAGACAACAAACACTCAAACATGAGATAGATTTGGATGGATAATCCGGGTCACCGATCTGTTTTTTAAAACCTTGATCTTTTCAGTTCAGATTTATGGGGATTGAATTCTTCCTTCTAGTGAAAGTTGAATGAATTTATGACATACTGGATAAACGTCTCGTTATGTCACTTTCGTTGCCTTTGTCTAGTGATCTTGAGCTTCTAATTTCTTCTCTTGTTTTCTTTACTTATTTTCTCCCATCATAGCATGTTGAACTGTTTTGATATAGAAATTATTATTATACTATCAATGTAAAAGATAAATAGAACTTAGCACCATTCTTGTTCTTATCTATTACAAATAAAGTATGTTGTGAGCCATTCATACATTAGTATCCTTATCCATCCCTAGATCCCCCAGTACACGACTTCTTTTTAACAAGACGATTCCTGGATGCGCATACATTGATTTACTTGGTTCTAATTATCATGTCACCCTGGCCCATTTAACATGTTTTACCATAATTTATCTGGTATTTTTTATGACGGACCTGGGGAAATGGTTATTTAGAAAGAAGACCGATTTAGGGTGAGATTTCAAACTGTTTTGATACTTCCCCTTTAGTGGTCCTTCTATTATTTTTGCTTTTGAGATTTTATTTGGTTAAAAAAAAAATTCTTCTTGTTTTTGTGTAGCCACTGTGGAACCTAATGCTGAGGAAACAAATGCCCTGGTAATTTTGTGAAGTTTTGAGTTGGTTATTCATTGTGCTTCTTCTTAAACATATATGTGTTGTTTTATTTGCCTCAGATGCTCCACTTAAGAACGCTTTTTTCTTGGCTTATTGTAGGCAGTGAGACAAGATGATGTTGACCCAGATAATATGTCTTACGAGGTGAATGCTTGAAAATTTTTCCCTCTGTTACTCGGTATTAACCTGTTCTAATGTATTCTTGATAAAAATTTCCATATTCACGAAGAGAGTAAGTGAAGGATAATGCTTATTCCTGCAATGCTCTTTGTTGTTGATTACATTCTCATTGGTCAACTATAGTGTAAAGAAAAGTATAGTTCTAATTATGAAACAGTTTTCCTTTTCAGGTATAAATTTGTTCGATCATAGACATTTATTGGGTCCACTATTTGGAATATTTATTAAGACATATTAGAAAACTAGAGCATGGATATTTAAATTGTGTTGTGGCACCATGAATTGGGAAGCTTTACTTAAGAAATGCCATAAGCGTGCAAAAAAGGGGTAGTTCTGAAAATTTTTCTTTACAGAGAGATAGCAACAGTTACCTTTTCAGATCACTGAAAGTAATGATTTTTTTTTTTTCTTAAGGCATAAATTGCCATTACCTAGTGAAGTGAACTGTCTTAAGTAGTGTTTGATGGTGATAGTTTTGAGGAAGACCTCCTACTTTTTGGTTGACAACATACACTTTGTGTTGGAGCATCTTGTATATGTCGTCGACATAGAGGAAGTTTCTTTCTTTGATTCAGTTATATATCCCTTTATTTTATCTAGAGGAGGAATAATGTCAATCATATCTGAGAATTGGGTTAAATTTTTAACACACGTTCATCAAATAAAACCAGAAGGTCTATTCTATTTTCTCTTAGTCCTGGAATGAATGTTAGATTTGTTTTCCCCACAAGAATCATTAAGTTCTCGTAATTTCCTCTTCTAGATCAAGTTGCAGGTTGACCATCTCAGTAGATCATGTGATTGATTTCCTAGAATGCAACTTTTTGCATTTCTTACAAGGAAACTCTCAGTTGTTCTGGTCAGTTACTGAAGAAAGCATCTGGTTTTTTCATTTGGTCTCAAAACTTCTGTTTCCAATCATCGCATGATCCTCTCCATTTTTCCTTTCTGGTTCAGATTCGCTGTTTTTAAAATGACATAGTCCTAGAAGCCATATTCTTTCATAAGTCCCAATACATCTATGTTACTCATCTCTTATGATCTTCATTTTGAATTCTGATGCTATCAAATCTGCCATGTGGGGAAGCGATTATGTAAGGTTGTCATCTGTTGCAAAATATCATGAAAGTGAACTTCTCATTGCTCTTCCCAGTTCCATTTATACTCAAGCTTGTTTCTGTAGGATCTCTATTTGGTTATGCTTCATAGGTTCTCCTAATCATCTCCATTCATTGTTTATCAGAACCATCATCTTATATTTTTATTTTTAATTAGTACATTGTGAATACAGTCACTTGGTTCACGGTATGCACACTGAAATCAATGATAGGATCACCTTAATACGGTAACCAGATTGTGAATTCGGTTTACAAACCATGGACATTTTCTGCAAATTAAAGTCAACTGATTTTAATGGTTTTTTGCAAGTATATATTGACATAAAAAGTACAGCGATAATTTATTGCAACCAAAAGCAGAGTTTAATGGTCTATCACATCCCATCACAACAATTACCATTGAATGTTAATTTTCTTTAACGTATGACAAGCTTTATTTAATACATCACCATTTTAAGTGTTTGTTGGACAGCCAAACCCATTTATTCCTGTCCTCCAATGTTTTGTTGAATCAGAGAGAAATTCTTTGATATTTTACAGTCTACATGATTAACCTTTTATTCGTGGCAGGAATTGGTTTCATTGGGAGAGGCTATTGGCACCCAAAGTCGAGGACTATCTGATGAGCTAATTTCCTTCCTTCCAACTTCAAAGTATAAACATGGGGGGTTTTTCTCAAAGAATAACAATCACGACCCGTAAGATACACTTGCATATTGAATATTCAATGGCATTTACTTCAGAGATTTTAAATTTCTCATGGTTCCGGAGAATTGAGTAGGGATATCATTGTTGGAATTTTACTTTTTATAAAGAATGGTATGCTAGGTTACCATCTATATTTGTAATGCACTTGTCGTGAAACACTTTTATAGGGTGTTTGTTCCTCTCCACTTTCAATCCCCATTTATTTGAAAAACACCTCTAAACACCTGTTTTCCCTTTGTTTTCAATTCATTGTAAAGAAGAAGATACCCACTCAGTCCATCGAAACTCACCTATAGTTCATTATGACTAATCTGACAGTTGTTGAAGAAAACAGAATTGGTGGTGATTGTAGGTAATCTTGAAATGAAATGTTTTGAGGTTATGACTGATCCGAAAATCTGTTTGGAAAATAATATGGTTGGAACAATTTTGCCTTTTCTCTTTGGTAACTCTGTGGACTTCACTCTTGCTAATGAGGATGTGTAGCGACACTTGAGGAACATTAGCTCATAATTTCAGTGCACGAACATCATTAATGAATTCCCAACATATAGAAGCACCCCTAATTTTTCCAATTCCTATGACAAAGTAAAGGTGAGACCTCTTATTTAAGGTAAAAATAAGTTTTCTTCCTTCTTTGAGATGGTAAGCTTGGGAGTTGAACCTTGGATATAGGGTAGCAATGGTCAACAAGTAACCAGTTAAGCCAATAATGATATCTCCTTCTTTCAAAAAATGCTTTCTGTGGTTGCCATTGTATCATGCTGTTGTCATACTAATTGGTTTACCTGTTCTTTTGGAAATATATGATTGGTAGTTTCTATAATTAAACTATAATGTTCACTCATGACAAAGTATACAAAAAGACTGTTAACCTTTAGTATGAAAAGGTCACAATCACCTGAACCATCAAATGTGAAATCGGGTGGTTGGGAGTGTACCTTGTCTGTGCTTGAAGTCAAAATTTTCCTCGAACTTTGTGCAGAGAAATGATACACCTGAGCTATCTGATTTTACATCTGAGGCTTGGGGTGTCTGTGACCTTTGCATATGAAAGACAACAGTCTCCCTACTCTTATTATCTTTCATGTTCTTATTACCTTTCATATTCCTGCGTTTTTCATAATCTTGTATTATACTTCTAAAGGTGCGTAATATGCCATATGGAGTACAAAAAGGGTGACCGATTGATCACTTTGCCTTGTCAGCATCACTATCACTCAGAATGTGTCACACGCTGGTTGAAAGAGAACAAGGTAACTCTTGTTGTTTCAATTTTCTTTCTTATCATAAGAGATAAGAACCCCAATAGCCCTGGTTCTGAAACAAATTAATTAGGTATTGTATACAGTGACACCATTACCTTTGGACAAAAAGGTCACAAGCACACAAGGCGTCTGATAGTGAAATCAGGCGACTGGGGCGTGTCATTTCTCCACAAAAATCTTCTCAGCCTTTGATCATGGATAATGGTACAGAATTAGTTGCCTTATTTTACATCTGATGTTTAGGGCTATTTGTGACCATTCTGTGCCAAAGGTAAAATGTCTTATTGTATACTTTCCCAATAATAAAAGTACCTTGGGTTCTAAATAATTAGAACACTAGCACATATATTTGAGATTTTAAAGAATTACAACACCATCACATGTACTTATGAATTGACAAAACGATGCTTCTTCATCCCTAGTCCTTGTTGGCATCCTTGTGCACATGAACTGGAAGCCCATGTGTTGCACAAGTAGGGTCTGAAAGGGGTGGCAGTTTTCTTTTTTCTTTATTTTTTAAAATTATTTAACTTTTTTATTTTTTTTTCCATAGCGGACATTCTTTTAGCTGAGGTTTTATGAATCTCTAAGCTAAAGCATTGGGATTGTCAGGTGAGACCATGTTATGTTGCCGCACATTGGGCTTTGTTAACATGGCACAAGTTAACAAATGCCTCAAGGGCAAGTTTGGGTGGACCCTTTAGAAGTATTCTACTTCAGAAGTATTCTAGTTTACCAGAATACCTACAAATGTTTTTTAAAAAAAAATCTATTTTTTTTGCTACTGCTACTTTTATTTAGCCGTTATTTGCAGCATTTATACATAGGCAGGTTCCAAAATGAAAAACTAAGTTGGAATTCCTGCACTAGTGTGCAGCAAAAATAGTGGAGTTCCCATTTAGTGATCCATCCAAACACGGCATAGGCATGAAATCACTTAAAAAAGGGATTGTCTACAAAAAGACCATTTATCTTTTGTGTGGGGTTACAATCATTCTCACTCATTAGATGTCAAATTGGATGGCTTGGGTGAGTCACGAAGTCTGAGAATGTTTTTTTTTGGAACTTTGTGTCTAGTCAATGACACTCTTACAACCACCCATTTTGAAACTAAAGGGACAAGAATGATTGTGACATTCATATACAAAAGATAAATAGACTCTTTGTAGATGATCCCCTTAAAAAATACCCAGAATGAATCTTTCTCATGTTCCTTAGAAATCCCCAAATTACTTTGCAAATAAATTACATCCAATATTACACAGACACCTGAACAGATCTGCTGCAAGCTGAGTTTCTTACCCCTGTAAAACATGATTTGTTGCCATCCGTTTTCATTAATCACATTATTTTCCAATTAGTGACCAATCCTTTATATTGGGGAAGCTTATTTCACTTTTGAGTTCAATTATCGAAATTGCAAAAACCTGTTTAACCCAACCTTGTTTAATTTTCTATGTGGGCATGTACGGCTGCCAAACGGCCTAGGCTGGCTGGGCGGTCCTGGCTTCAGGCAGGATTTGGTCCACGCTTTTGGCCATCAGGTCAGACGTACTAAACCTGAATAATTTTGGGGAAGCTTATTTCTCTTTTGAGTTCAATTATTGAAATTGCAAAAGCCTGTTTAACCCACCATGTTTAATTTTCTATGTGGGGATATTCGGCGTCAAACGGGCCAGGCCTGGTTTCGGGCAGGATTTGGTCCGCGCTCTTGGCCATCAGGCCAGGCGTACTAAACCTGAATAATTTTGGGGCCGGGCCGAGCCTGAGCCCAACAAAAACTTGAATTAGTCCATAGACTATATTGTTTGTAGCCCATACTATAACTTTATATAGTCCACATTCTATTATCTATAGGCTATAAAATCTTTATAATTTATAAAAATTACGGTCTAAAGCCTTTTTATGATTGTTATAAAATACAATCTTATATCCATAGTCCATATACTATTGTCATAGCACCCCAAATGTTGTCTATACACTCCAGCTCAAAAATAGCATTGAATATTAGAGGGAAAGGAAAAAACTTTTTATTTTGGTACAGCAATGGAGCATTTCTGTGTATGTGCTAGAGAGTTTGTGAGAGAGAATTTTTCCTTTCAAATGAAAATTTGAAAGTTCCCTTTCCGCTATTAGCGGACTCGAGCCCGTCCCAATGTGGCCGGATTTACATCCGGGCTGGGCCAGGCCGTAGGCATGGCTTCATTGACGTAGTCAGGGCATGAGCCGGGCCATTGCTTGATGCTAATTTTCAGGCCCCGCCAAGTCTGGGTCAGCCAAAAAATTCGGTTCATGCTCGAGACCTGGTTTGGCCCGGCCAGAACCCGGTCTTATGGGCATGTGAAGAACTTGTCTGAAAAAGACCTGGAATACCAATTGTGTTTTACAAATGCCATAACTACATTGAACCACAGTTTTCATTCAAGATTGGTTGTAGAGTCTACATATTGGAGGAAATTACAGTAAGGACTTGTCCTATTTTACAATTTCTTAGTACCCATGTAACAAATTTTCAAGCATTGCTCTCCAAAACAAGTGATCTCAGCATACCTTTATGCTTGCATGCACCACAAACAATCTGAACTACACATGGTTAGCCATTTAGATATGTGGAAATAACTTATGAATTAATTGGGTGTCCTCTCTCTCCCTCTCTCTCGACGTCAGATCTGGATCAAAAATTTGGATCCAAATACTAATTCGGATCAAATCAGAGTATGGATGGATCTGACCCAGTTATTAAAATATTATATATGATTTTATTTATACATATATATTATATAGTATTTTGTTGTTATATATTATTTTATAGATATAAAAATACTATATAAATAATTTTTTGGATCCCATTGTGTCTGGATATGTATCCAGGTCCCATGGATACTTTCAAATCCGGATCTGAATCTAGATCCAAATATTTTGGATCCGATCAGGCCAAAGCTAGATCCCATGTATACTTTTTAGATCAAATCAGGGTCCCAATGGATCCGGACCCTATCCGATCCATTCTCAGCCCTATTGTTGCCCATAACATGTGTTAGATCTCCTAACACTTTGAATAGGTATGGATTAAGTGTGGCCTCTCTCTCTCTCTATAGTCATACTCTAACTTACTTTTGCCATGTACTTTTGACAGGCTTGCCCTATTTGCTATGTGGAGGTGTTTGGTTCTTGACCCAGATCAGAGTGAGAAGCATGGCAATCTATATTTTTGAGCCATTATATGGAAAATAAAAAAAGTTTGCCGTGATCTTGAAAAGTTCATTGGAACATTGCACAGGCCTCTCTATCCCTTGGACAATTGGACTGTTTCAACTTAATGGCCTGCAATATCATGTGTGTGAAACCTGTTATCTGCCATCAATTTATGTTGAGCATTAAAACTTGGGACTAATTTGCTCTAAAATGATTATAATTTGGTAAAGGGTTTCATGTTTGTTGAACTGAAGTTATCATGTAAATGAATTTAGCAACTAAAGAAACTTCGGAGGCGTTTTGATTATGGCTAAAGCCAAAGGACATAAACCCTTCCTTCTGGGTTTCAAGCTTGAAACATGTTTTTGTTAGGATATGGATATCTCGGGTTCGTATTGATATATATCATTATGGATATATGAGCATATGTCACACAAAGCATTTAGAGTTTGAGTTTGAGGGGAAGTGTTAAGATATGGATATCTTGGGTTCATATTGATATACATCATTATGGATGTATGGGTATATATTTCTTGGTAAGATTAGGTATCTAGAATAGAGACAGTATATATTTCTTGGTAAGGTTAGGTATCTAGAATAGAGACCTAGTTACTTGGTCATCAAGTTATCCTACCATATTTATCTTTTGATACGGTTAGGTATTTAGAAGATAGAGACCTAGTTACTTGGTCATCTAGTTATCATACTATCTTTATCTTTATCTCATGTAATTGTGTGATTATCCTCTATATATAAAGGAAAATTATTGATGTAAACATTTATCCAAACGAATGAAGATGTAGCCAGTTGGGTTTTGTATCTGTGGACTTAGCTTGAACCACGTAAATATTGTGTTCTCTCTACTTCTCTCTCTTGTATCTGTGGACATCGCTTGAACTACGTAAATATTGTGTTCTCTATACTCTCTCTACTTCTCTCTCCTCTATGTAATATTATGTTCTCTCTACTTCTCTCTCCTTTATATAAATATTATGTTCTCTCTACTTCTCTCTCCTCCACGATCTCTCTACTTCTCTCTCCTCTATGTAATATTATGTTATCTCTACTTCTCTTTCCTCTGTAAATATTATGTTCTCTCTATTTCTCTCTCCTCCACGATTTCTAACATGATATCAGAGCATCGTCTCTTTCTTGATCATGGTCCATGTGGGTTCGTTCATAATTGTGGAATGAGTTGAAGCCTTTCTTTTGTCGAGGCCCTCCAAAAATAGTGTTATGCAAATCCCAATTTTTCTTGGCAAAGGTAAATCGTTCCAAGACCATACTAGGCATTGTAGTGCCTTGAATCTGACCGAAGTGAACTTTGGAAGCAAGCCTCGCAAGGGTTGAGAATCCTTCCAAAAAAAAAAGTGCTCTTGATTGCGATCTCCAAGTTATGGGCAACATTGTGCATGTTGTGATTGATGAGAGTGTGCCTTATGCTCAAACGGAGTAGCACCGCCATCGATGACGACCCAATAGTTGCTTGAGATGATCAAGTTTTTCGTTACTTAATCTCTTTTGATGATGGAGTTTTTTGTTACTCATCTTGTTTGATTATCAAATTTCTTGATCCTGGATGATGATCAAGTTTTTTGTTACTTGATCTTGTTTGATGATTGAGTTTTTTGTTACTCAATCTTATTGGATGACTCGATCTTATTGGATGATGGCGTTTTCCGTTGCTCCATCCTGGGTGATGATCGAGTTTTTCATTATTCGATCCCAGATGTTCCGAAGAAGAAAGAAAGAAAGATCATTTTCTTTTAGAGAGAGAAAGCCTTTAGAAAGAAAAAAAAAGCCTCTAAGAGAGAAGATCTTCAGAGAAAAAAACCCTAGAATTGGAAGACCTTAAAGAGAAAGACCCTAGAGAGAAAGTTTCTAGAAGAAAGTAGAGAGCTCAATAAATCTTCTTTCTTGGAAGACCCTAAAGAGAAAAAGTCTCTAGAAGAAAATAGAGACCCAAATAAATGTTGTTTCTTAGAAGACCATGGTTGTTTCTTAGAATACCATGGTAACTCGTAAAATTTATCATGGATTTAATCACTACTCGTTTTTTTGGCAACTTAGTATTGTTCAACCTCCAAATGCTTTGCGTCAAAGCATCTTGAGTTTTAGAATATGGATATCTCGGGTTTATATTGATATATACATCATTGTGAATGTATATATCACACAAAGCATCTCGAGGTCGAGGTTGAGGTTGAGTTTGAGGGGGAGTGTTAGGATATGGATATCTAAGGTTAGGTATCTAGAAGATAGTGAGCCAATTACTTGGTCAAGTTATTATACCATATTTGATAAGGTTAGGCATCTAGAAGATAAAGACCTAAGTTATTTGGTCAAGTTATTATACCATATTTGATAAGGTTAGGTATCTAGAAGATAGAGACCTAGGTTACTTGGTCATCAAGTTTTCATACCATATTTATCTCTTGATAAGGTTAGGTGACCCAGTTACTTGGTCATCAAGGTATTATACCATATTTGATAAAGTTAGGTATCTAGAAGATAGTTACTTGGTCATCCAGGTATTAGACCATATTTGATAAGTTAGGTATCTAGAAGATAGAGACCCAGTTACTTGATCATCAAGTTATTATACCATATTTATCTTTTAATAAGTCTCTTGATAAGGTTAGGTGACCCAGTTACTTGGTCATCAAGTTATCATACCATATTTATCTCTTGATAAGGTTAGGTAACCCAGTTACTTGGTCATCAAGTTATTATACCATATTTATCTCTTGATAATGTTAGGTATCTAGAAGATAGAGACCCAGTTACTTAGTGATCAAATATTTATTTCTTGAAAAGGTTAGCTGACTATGTTACTTGGTCATCAAGTTATCATACCATATTTATCTCTTCATAATGTTAGGTACCCAATTAATTGGTCATCAAATTATCATACCATATTTAACCATATTTATCTCTTGATAAGGTTGGGTATCAAGTTATCATACCATATTTATCTCTTGATAATGTTGGGTATTTAGAAGATAGAGACCCAATTACTTGGTTATAAAGTTATCTTACCATATTTATCTCATGTAATTATGTGATTGTCATCTATATATATATATATATATGTCATGTAATTGTGTAATTTTCTTATATATATATATAGAAACTTATTGATGTAAACATTTATCCAAAATAGTGAAGTTATTGATGTAAACATTTATCCAAAATAGTAAAGATATAGCCAGTAAGGAAGATGTAGCTAGGTGGGTTTTTTCGTAGACGTAAGGCTTCGCCCTGAACAACGTAAATATTGTGTTCTCTTTACTTCTCTCTCTTCCACGAGTTAAATATCTTATTCCAAAGTTGGTAAGGCTTCGCCCTGGACCACATAAATATTGTGTTCTATTTACTTCTCTCTCCTCTACGAATTCTAACTATTTTTAATTGAAATATCTTATTCCTAAGTTGGTAACCGGAAGAAGTATCGGATTCAACTTGAATGGCTCGAGCTAAATAACAAAATTGACATTTTTTTAATTTCCAAATCCAAAGTATGTGTTTTTAATGAAAATATTTAGTTTTATTTTGGGTATTTTTAATGCAATACTATGTTCTAAATTATCTTCCTAGAATATGCGATTTGTCGATAAATTGGTTAATTTAATTATCGTATTGATTTTTGAGGTGGATTAGTTCATTAATGTTATCTTTTTTTCTTATCACTAGAGCCTATCTAAACATGAATTTAAGGAAGACGTGGAACCAACTTTACATTATTATAATCATTTAAGGGGCAAATTAATCCAAATTAATCTTACATTGTTATGTTTTTCAATTTTAGATGTGAATAGTTCAAAATTATCTCACATTGTTGTGTTTTTATTACAAAATTATCGACCCCAATCTAAAATTTGAGAGAAGTTTCTATTTTGAGCATGTAAAATAGCACATCGTTAACCATATATTCATCCAATAGTCAGGGATGATTGTGACTTTCTTGTAGAAGTATTAAGTGGTCTCGTGTAATAATTTTTCAAGATTAAAATGTAAAAGAATTACAAATGAGGAGCACATGTTGCCTCGACTCTCTCATTTTTCCTTCTCTCCCATCATTAATCCTTCGATAATACTTTTTGTGGTTTTGATAAAAAATTTAATAGAATTTTATTCTTTTGAGTGATTTTTTGCTTTTTACTTTTTGGGAAGGAAGAAGATAGCCCGCTTTTTCTCCTACATGCTAAAAGCCTACCGTGAGTGCTTCTCCTTTTGTTGGGCCATCCGCATATAAAACACTTATGTTCCTTATTCTTACCTGTCACATCTAATAGACATTTAGGATAATTTCAATCATAATGTCCTATCTAGCTAATATATTTTCGACTAATTATCTTGGCATAAAAGTTGGAATGTGCCCATTCTTTGCATGGTTGCATCAAAAAAAAAAAAAAAAGCAATAACAAAATATCTCTAGAACTTATAGGGAATTTACATGATTGGAAGTAACCAAATAGGTTTACGACAGGAACCTAAATATCGATTATGGATCCGATTTAAGTACCTCTACCGGATAGACCTCAACAAAAAAATTAAAGTACCCACAACTCCTATTAAGAGAAAAATGGAACCTCCTGCTGTGTACAAAATGAATTTTGTAGGTGAATACAATTTTTTTTCTCCCCACATCAATAAAAATAAGTAAACAAGAACTAATCTAACTCCCACATGATGAAAAAAAGTACAAAAGCCGCGAGAAGAAAATGATCATATTTGACCGCAGTACATTATTAAGATTAGGAAATGGAATAATCTCGAATTTTGAGTATCTGGTCAAGCCGCTGAAATAGCTAAAACAATAGACAATAAAAGCATTGAGCTACTTAGAATTAGTCTTAAAAGACAAAAGAGAAGAAAATAGATTTCTCTTTTGATGTTGCAACATACATATTAAATATTTATGCCTTTTCTCAATATTGATGCATGTAGATAGGGATCCTATTCTTTATTCGGCTCAATCGTTTTAGTAAAAGATTGGGCCAAATTTAATTGTTATTGGGGAACGAACATGAATTACTGGATTACAACACATCCATTGTTTCGAATTTGAATTTGATCTCGTTTCATACCTCACAAACAATAGCTAGTTATGGGCTCAAATGATCTATAGACGTAAAAATTAAAAATAAAAAAACTGTTGAGTAGTCGTGTTGCCATCCTATTATCCTTGCCGTCAAATTCCAGTTGCACATATTGGTGGTGCTACATAGAAACGTTTCTATCTTTTTTAACCTTAATTTTGTATATTTACTCTAGTAATCCTAATAACCAACATAAAAATTAAAAAAAAAATCACCATCATCAAAATATTTTCC